GACAATGGGGAAGCCATGGGGCCTGGGACAGAAGCCTGCTTGTTCCTGCAGACAATGGGGAAGCCGCCCTCCAGCCTCTGGCCGCTCTGTGGTCAGTTCAAAGAAGCCGGACGGGTGAGGAGAGCTGGCCGTAGACAGGAGCCCCCCGAGGTGTTCTGGCACCCAGACCCGCTTGGGTGGCTTTCCTGGCATCTCTCTCTGCTGCCACACTGCTCCCAAACGCACCGCGGAGGCAGCTGGCCATGGCCACCCTCCCCTCGCATAGAATCCTCCCTCCCCCACCCCACATGTGGAGGGTTTTTTTTCCCCCCTCAGTGTCATTTTCGGTTCGCTTTGCTAAAGAGAAGGGACACCACAGAAGGTAAATTATAATTTTATTGAATGACTGGAGGGCTGCCTCCTCCTTCCATCTTCCCTTTGCCCTTGCAGAGGCTCCCCCCCCCCCCATTTGTTAGCAACTTGGTGCAGAGATTTGGGGGGGGAGGTCTCGCCCCTTTTCTGAAGGGCCGCTCCCTGGGGGAAAAGAGGTTCTGTTGGCACATAAATGGTCCAGCCAAGGAAGCATAGAGGAAGCCAGGCCTGCACAGCAAGAGGGGAAGGATCAGGGCCCCCTCCCCCAGGCTCTGCTTCTGCTTGGAAGGGCACCCCGGAAGTGCAGGAGGAGGGCCTGGACTGTGTCTCCAAGAACACCGCGGAGCAGCCCAAGAGACCTTGCCATGCGTCCTGCCAGGGGTGGCTGGCAGAGAGGGCCCGGCCCACTCCGCCGCTTCCCTTGTGAAGACCTCCGTATTCTACACCATGCGAAGTGGGGAGTGGGGGGGGGGGTGGCGTGTGCAAGAACTGGGACCTCACACTGCAAAGTTACAAATCTCGGAGGAGGCCGGCCGGAGCAGCCTGTGCAAAACGCCTCTCAAAGGGCAGCCTTTCCCACCTGCGCTGAGGAGGGCGCCTACCTGCCCCCCAGGAGCCGTGGGCTAGACCAGCAGCTGGCTCTGTGAGGGAGGGTCCTCGGCCAGGAGCCCCTGGGGGCTGGAGGGGGCTGACCGGGCCATGCTGCCAAAGCAGGGGGGGGCCACGGCCGTGCTGGGTGAGGGGCGCAACAAGGGGGTCCGCTCCGAGTCATCGTCCTCTTCCTCCTCCTCGTGCCCCAAGTCCAAGGGCCCCGCCTCGCTCTGGGCAGGCACGGCCCGGTCGCTGCCCTCTTCCCCTTCCGAGTCCGAGTCCTCCGGGGAGCGCATGACCCGCTGCTTGCACACGGGACACGTCTTCTTGGTCTGGGTCAGCCAGGGGTCCACACACTTGCAGTGGTAGGCTGTTGCAGGGGGACAAAGGGGCCCAGGCTGACCGGCCAGCCTCGGAAAGCCTTTGGATGCCGGGAGACTCTGGCCAGGCTGGGGCAGAGCCACCCACCCACCCACCCCCTTGGGCGGACCACCGGCCAGCCCTTGGCTCACCGTGGGAGCAGGGCAGGATTCGCAGCCGGTCCCCATCCTCGTACTCTTCCAGGCAGATGGCGCAGACGTCATACTCGTCTCCTGGGGGGAGAAGGTGGGGGCCCCAGCCCCCCCAGCCATTTAAGGGCTCTTCCCCACTGCAAACCTCCCCCCCGCATCGTGCGCCCACCCAGAGACCGGCGGAGGGGGCTTCCGGCGGCCCCTCTTGGGGTCTGTGTGTATGGGGGGGGGGAGGCTTGGGCGGGCACCTCACGGCCTTTGGGGGGTTCCCCGCAGGCTGCGCCCCCAGACGAGGCCGGGCCCGCCTTTCTTTCCCCGGACGGGAGGCGCGAAGTTGCGGGCCACGAAAACAGGAAGCCGGGCAGGGCGTCTCGCAGCGCCCGCGAAGGGAAGTGGTCGGCGGGCGCCTCGGCGGAGCTCCAAAGAGCCGCGCGCCCGGCCTTATAAGGCAAGAGCTGCGCTGCGCTGGGCGGCCGCCGCTTCCTTCCTNCCCGCCTCCCCTCCCGCTGCAGCCGGCGGAAGTGAGCGTGCTGGTGGGGAAGGACCGCAGCAACCTCTTCGTGAACGGGCTGACGCTGGGCGGGCAGAAGTGCTCCGTCATCCGGGACAGCCTCTACCTGGACGGGGAGAACACCATGGACCTCCGGACAAAGAGCACCGGCGGGGCCCCCACCTACAACATCACCGCCGCCATGACCAACAAGAGTGAGTGGGGGGGAGGGAGGGAGGGGAGGGGAGGGGCAGCTGCCCGCCTTTCCCGGCTGGGAGGGGCCGCATTCCTTCCCTGCAGGCAGCTGTGGGGGGCTGGGGAGGGGGGCTCCGGGGGGGGGGAGCAGACAACTGTGGCTCAAGGCGGCCGGCCATAAATCTGGCTCAGGGCCAGGTGGGGGGGGGGGCGCAGAGCAGCAGTCAGGCCCTTCCTTTGGGGGGGGCATCCCATGCACTGTTACGGGTCAGACCCCATTCCCCCCCCCCTTACCTAGTTAAACCAAGGCCACATTCCAGAGCCACAGCTGTCCCCTGCATCTGTCTTTGTCCTTAAATGGAAGGGCTTCATTCCTCCTGCGCACCTGGTTCCTTTTAGCTCCCCCACCATTTGCAGAGGAGAGGGGGGGGATATCTTGCCCCCCCCCTGCCTGCTCGGCCACTGACCATGTGTGTCTCCCCCCCCCCCCGCAGCAATCGTGCTCCTCATGGGCAAGGAGGGCATCCATGGCGGCGGCATCAACAAGAAGTGTTACGAGATGGCCAACCACTTGCGGCGGTCGCAGTATTGACCCGCCTGCTGGTCCCATCTGTGGTACTACTGATGATGGAACGGTGTGAGGATGTCCAAGACGGCAGCGACCGCCCGGGGCGCCCGGCCTTGCCACTGCGGGACCAACCCCCNGTTTACAGAGAGTCAGCATATTGCCCCCAACAATCCGGGTCCTCAAAGCTTTTGGGCGGCACAGAGCCCTTCATTGCTGAGCGGGGGGGGGCTGCTGCCGACCCCCCGGGGGCCACTGGGGCTGGGGGCGGCGCAGTCCCCCACACCAACGGAGAGGGCGGCTGTTCGTGCTGCTTTCATGGCTGCCTGGAGGCTGCAGAGAAGCCCCCCCCCTCTACTGGGCCGGGAAGGGGTCCTCAGGCGCCGAGTTGAGGTGCCCCATGAAGAAGATGGCCAGGGTGCCGATGGTGAAGAGCAGGAGGGCCAGCCAGAAGCAGAGCTTGTCAATCATCTGCCCGATCAGCATCCAGTTCTCGATCTCCTGGGAGGGAGGGAGGGAGGGAGGGAGGGAGCAAAGGGTCAGCCTGGTGGGGGACGGGGAGAGTAGTCGGGAGGCAGCTCCTCTTCGGTTGCTCCCCGTGGGCGGACTCACCGCCCCGTCCTTGTTCTGCTCCTTGGTGCTCTTGCTGATGAAGTTGCAGGCGTCCACACACTCCTGGATCTCGGGGGCCAGGCTGGAGAGGCTCTTGTACAGCATGGTCGTCATCTCCACGTCCAGCCCATCTGGAGGGGAGGGGAGGGGAGGGGGGAGAATGAAGGTGGCGGAAGGCCTCCGTCTCTCGCATGCAGAACACTGGGACTCTCTCTCTGGCCTCACTTTCCTGGCCTCGCGTGTAGGGCTCCGAGTGCCAGGGCTGCCCTGGGCACTCCTTCCAAGGGGGCATTTCTGCCCACCACCTGTTGGGCTGGGGCCTGAGTGAGTGAGGAGCCAAGGCGGCATTCACAGCCAAAAGGATGGCAGCTTTGGGCAAAGTCAGAGGCCCCTGGCCTAAGCGGAGCCTTGCCCGCTGCCCCCACCCCCATCCAGTGTACGATTTCAAGGGCCTGACGGGCATCGGGTGTCCTCTCCGGAATGGGGAGACCGGCTGCCTTGGCAGGGCAGCGCAGGGCAAGGACGTCTGTCCTTGGCGAGTCGGCTGGCAGCCAGGTAGGCGGGAAGCGAGACATCCGGAGGAGCCCCCCCCCCCTGGCCTGCCGCCCCCTCCCCGAGTCCCGCACCGTAATGGGGCGCCCTCTGCAGCCCGTGGCGCTGGCCCTGGTGCTCAAAGAGGACCTCGCTCCGGGCCTTCTTCAGGATGTACTCCTCGGCCTTGACCAAGGTGGAGAAGGAGCGCCGAGGGCAGGGGGCGCCCAGGGACTCGTCCTCGTCTGCGGGGCCGATGTTGGAGCCCAGGTAGTGCGGGAGGAACTTGAGGAAGAGCTGAGGGGGAAGACCAGGAGGAAGGGGCCGTCAAGTGCGCCCGGGCCTCTCGCCCCCTCTGCCCACTGCCACCCTCTCCGAGCCCATTGCCCTCAACGGCTCAAAGCAGCTCCCCATTGAAAATGCACTCCGGGCCCTGATGCAGTCCCTCCAGGGGGATGCCCTCTGTGCCAGCGGCCGGGTCCCTCTGCCCGCTGCTGCCCTGCGGGTGAAGCCCGAGGAGAGGCTGGTGGGGCTGAAGCCTCCTTCCTCGCTGCCCTCTGGGAGGGACCCCGTGGTTGGGGAGGGGGGTGCTGGCAGAGTTCCCCCCCTTCTTCAGCCCTGGATTTCCTGATGAGCTGAGAGGCGGCCAACTGTGGCCACTTGAAGATGTCGGCTCAGCCCCCAGAAGCCCCATCGCTGGCTGAAGCCCAATCGGCCCCGATCAACCCTGGAGGCTGGCTCTACATTCTGGCCAAGGCCATCAGCCGGTCTTGGCCCCTCAAGGGGCTCCAGGTGCCGCCCTGAAGTCTCCCCCTCTTCAGCCGTCCGCCATGAGAGCCCCTGCAGGGTTCCTCCGGCATCCCTCGGCCGTCTCTGCTTGGCCATCACGCCTGGCTTCGGCCAAGCCCCCCCCCCCCGCGTCCCTCCCTGCCCCCCTCCTCACGTGCTTGAGCCTGGGGGAGAGGCGGTGGGTGCTGGGGCTGCGCAGGGAGACATTCAGCACCACGATGCAGTTGGTGACGATCAGGGTGGCCACCGTCATCACAAAGAGCAGGTACCTGGCAGCCGGGGGGGGGAGGAGAAGGGCAGCGGGTGGGCCGAGCCGCTTCCCGGGGCCTCCCCCCACCCCACAGGCTGGCAGCCACTCACTTGCCAATGAGGGGGACGCTGAGGGACGTTTCGGGCACCTTCTGAGAGATCAGGAAGAGGAAGACCGTCTGGGCCAGCAGGACCGAGATGCTGACCGTGCACTTCTGCCCACCGGCTGCCAGGCAGGAATCTCGTGGGTGAGAGCAGCGAGGCCGCCGGGGGCCCTTCCCTCTCCCCACAACCCAGCGTCCCCCTTCCCACTCTGCGTGCCCCCTGCCCTGCCCCCCAGCTCACCCTGGGCGGGCAGGAAGTAGACAAGGACCACCAGGGAGGAGATCAGCACGCAGGGCACGATGATGTTGATGACGTAGAAGAGGGGCTTGCGCTGGATGATGAGGATGTAGTGGATCTCGGAGAAGCCCGGCGCCTCCAGCCCAGCCACGGGGGCCAGGACCCGGCGGGCCGGGCGCTTCTTGATGGCCCACTCCCCGTTCTCTGAAACAGAGCCCCCCCTGGCATTGCAGATGGCAGCTCTCCACTGGGCTGCCCAGAGCCCCCCGGAAGCCAGGGGAGCCAAGGAGCAACCCACACGGCGGCCTC